TTTTGACATTTTGATTAGAATCGCAAAAAGTAAAAAAATAAAGATAGAATAAAAAACAAAACAAATTTTTGGCTGCTTTTTGCAAAACCAAACTAATAATTCTTTCTTATTACAATAAAAGCCTATGAGAGCTAACACGGATGTCAGTGTGCAATAGTTTTTTACAATATCCAGCCACATGCGAACTGCGCGCCGTATAATCGTCGGACTTGAAACACAGCTTATTGCATGAGGCCGAAATTTACTTGTAACAATTAAATTGACTATACTTAACACGCATTTATATACGATCTCCTTTCCCCCGAATCTGTAAAGAAATTATTGTAAAAAAATATCACCTCATGTTCTCCTTCGGCTGTATATATATATATATATATATATATAAATTTATTTCAAAATATTAAGCACAAAGCTGGAAGCTCTAGCTCATATCAAAAAAGCCTTCATTTTCCTAGTTGTATTTTTATATATCGATCTAGTATCATTGTTATATTGCTTTTATTAATATTAAAGCAAAAAATTGCATCTTAAATTATTTAGATTGATCTCGTTTCAGCATTAAAAAAGTAACAGAAAAGTAACGAATCGTTACTTTTTAAGTAAAGGTAACTAGTTATTTTTTTAACTCGGTAACGAGTAACGATAACTAGTTACTTTTAAAAAGTAACTTTCCATTCCCTGTTAATAATAATTAATTTATAACTATTAAATTGCTATCCTTCAAATGCTAAAACAAACATTGATTTATTAAAAATTTTTATAGCCTAATATATTATATTAAAATACAGAAAAACAGTCAAAAAATGATATATTATACATTCAATAAATAAGACTACTGCATACTTATGTGCTTTAAGGTGAAGCAAAAAAAAGTTTATTTTTATTATTAATAATTTGATATCTATTTTAAAAACTTTATTTTTTGAAAAAGGAAAAGAAGTTAGACATCATACAGATGTTTGCTCGGCAAACACGCGCATATGTATATTTGTTTCAAATATAACTCAGATGTACTCATAACATATTAAGAATAATTATTTATTAATTACTCAACATATGTTCCCATATATGTATATTGTTATCTGTCAAAATGTTTATAAGTAGATGGTGATTTTTGATATCTCTCTTTTGATATCCCTATTTTGAATATCCCTCTAATATATCTGTGTGATTGTTTATAGGTATATTATTCTGATGTAATGTTATATTAAATGGATGATGTAATATTTGTCACAATGATTTTAATGTTCACGTGATTGCAGTCTTACTATTATGTGTATTTTCTACTTCTTCGGCTATTATTTGTTTTGAAAGATGGAAATTTCGATTTTAACGATAGATTGATTTTATTGTAGATTCATTGAAACCAGTGATATATCTTAAGGAAGATATAATTTACAAAGCCAGTATCGAAGATGATTGTATGTATTTTATAGCCAGCGGAACTGTTGTACTAATCACATTCTCTGGAAAAGAAGTAAGTAATTGAAAATATTTACACAGAGAAAAAATGAATTCATGCTTTGTTTGTAAATACAATCGAATAATAAGAATATTCTTTCAAGATATATCATCTTCACGATGGTGATCACTTTGGCGAGGCTGGCTTGATTTATTCAAATAAACGTAGAGAGGAATCAGTTATCGCTTTAGAAGTGTGCGAGCTGCTTCGCTTGCATCGTCGCGATTTCAAGCGTCTTTTTACCGCAAATTCGGAATTTTATAACATCTTGGAACATATCGCGCGAGAACGTTCAAAAAAAATCAAGACTCTGGAAGAACAGAATTTTGAAATAATCAAGCAGTAATTTTTATAGCTGGAATTTTAGTTGTAAGTAAGGTTTCATCGATTGTGCATAAAAATTGATTTTTTTTTCTAAAAATTTTATTTTAAAAATAAATATAGTAAGTGATTCAAGGCAAAAAAAAATTTTGAGATTCCTCCATAAAATGGGACACTGTATATGTATATGTATATATATATATATATATATATATATATATATACAGGGTGTCCATTTTATATTTGACAGTTAAATATTTGG